AGATAGCGTTTTCGAGCAATAGCCTCACTAGAAACTGCACTAAGAAGTTCACTCTCATGGTTAGCAGATGAAATTTGTTGAATGAATCGATTCATTTCGAGTTCGTTGAACTGCTAAACCATAGATGAGATCGGGTGAATTACAACATGATCGCTTCTAATGCTTAGGCGAAAGCACTCATTTGTCTAAACTAATTCAACGGTGTTATTGCCTAGAGTTGACCGATAGAGCGATGATGTGGCGTTGGAAAGGTGAAGATAACGAAGCAAAGATCGAAAAACTGACCGCAACAATTCGGTAATGTGAACATTTCGCTGAAATGTTAACTTGCACAAAAGTTGAATTAAGGCACTGATTTAAAGCAATCTAATGCAACCTTTATATACGCGTCACAGTGTTCTAGATGTGGATGATTGAATGTCTTATGTGAAGTGATAATTCATAGTCGTTTAGTTGAACAAAAATCATTGGAGGAATTGACGTATCTTCATCAACGGATCCATTTTCAATCACTCGAATTATCGTGATAGAATAAGTGGAGGAGAAATTTTTTGTTCGTTTCTAAGCATTCGCATCGATGATGTATCAAACGAACTGTTGTGATGATAACGATTAACATGCAAAAACAAATTGTAAGCAAAAAGCATTAAGCGTTCAAAAAACAACGCACAAAGCCAATTAATTAGCGTTCAAATGAGTTTGCAATAGACGTTAGACGAGTAACGTTTCGTGCAAATACAGAAACTGACGCAAAATGTTGTGCAGAAATATTTTCACTTTTCGTTGCATTTTAGAGAGCAACCTGAAGAAAAAATGCACTTGTTCGCAATACTTTGATTTTTGGTAAAATAATAACAGTAATAATGACGCAGGTTCATTTCAAATGTGCTCAATGAATTATTAATTAATGTTTGAATTGTGTTCCTTCCAATCGATGAGTCAGAAAAAGATAATGAATGCATTTTGGTGTGCACTATCAAACGCCATCCGACCGTAAATCAATGCCAAAACAAACATATCAATGATCATCCGGCTTTGCAACCTAGTCACTGCAATGTACCAGTGAAGTTCTTGAATGAGGCGCATTGCAGATTTCGACAATTTTACTGACTGTGAGCATATTGCTGTTAGATGAGAACAGCACCGAAATATCATGAAGAGCGACATTTAGCGGTGTGCACTCGACCCTTAGCAGATCGCTTCGTAATTGTAGCGGCCAGCACGAAAAAACCCGCAAGATGTTGGTCGGTGAGACTAATACAGAAAAGTATAGGTGATTAGAGTTCTAGGATTCTTACAATACACGAATGATGTACATGGTGTGCTAAAAGATCCATCCGGCAATATGGTGGAGAGCACGTACACGATTTCACATCGGTTCAGCAATTTCGTCGATTTCCAAAGTGAATGTTGAAAGAAATGGAGTAAAAAGTAGAGGGTATAAACATGCAATTGTTGCGTTGCGTTGGTTCACCTGAAAACGAATTCGAGGAATGGCGGAACGATACATTGATCGACCGACGAAATCGTCGCGTAATGAAGGCGCGCGATAGTCTGGCTCTTCCGGCTGAGAACATTTTTGACTGCGGCAAAGAAATCCGCCCAACACAAACGACTTTCAAACGATATATGGTTAGTAAGTGTAATGCGGAAGAGAGTTTGCATAAATTTGAGACAGCATAGTACCCAAACAGCAGTGAACATAAGTATATGTATTGAAATCAATCCCAAATTGAATAACATATAGTCTGGTAGGATTGGGTCGGAGATCCCAGAGGATGGGGTTCGAGGACGGTCGGGACTCAAGGTTCTCCCATCACTTTCTAAATTCCACAGGTCTATGACTCTTCCCCTAATTTCGAGGGCCATGAACAATTAGATAGACAGACAGACGGATACT